AGTTGGCGGTGGGTGGTGATGACTAGCTGCCTTCCCTCTAGTCTTACACTGCTAAAGTAGGGACGGCTAGCGCAGATAGCCCTCGTGTAGCTTTGCGCGAAATTCCAAAACAAACAAGAACTGCATTGTCACTCCATTCATTGTGGAACAGGTATTGCAAATAGCCCGACAATTTCTAGCTTATGTTAACCACCTTCCCATCGTCCAACTATGCGATCTTGTGAAAATATGGTCAGTTCTTGATATTCCTGCATTTGTGGCATAGTTTTTATATCCTGCAGTTTTTACATGTATTTATATGGAGGAGTTATTTGCATATGATGGCATAGAAATAGTCGATTTCTATTCTGTTAGACTATGTAATGAAGAATATTGAAAAAAATATCTTCTAGATTCAATTTTCAGTAAACATTAAGGTGTGATATGTGGGCATGCCACGTACTTTTTACCTTCTTTAGTGGCACAGAAATGTTCAAATTATTTCAGTTATTTAGTTTACTCACTATAGTAGCGATAACATGTGGTCCAGAAGGTCGTTAAGAGTAGCTTGTTCTATTTTCTTTGTTTTCTATAATAGGTGATATGTCGTTTGCCTGCAGAGATTTGTATAACATTCAGAATTGACACTGGTATATCCTTTGTTGGGCGATTATGAAATTGACTGTATGTTACAATCGACCAATTCTGTGAGAAAACAAAGTCACGAGGTAATTTGTCAAATGAACAAAGAAAGCGGATTTACATGTTGAATTTTTGCGCGCTTAAGATATCCACTTCTACTAGGCGATTCGAGTGAAAACCATTTTTTAAGATAATCGTTTTTAGTTCTACGTAGATTAATTCTGCGGGAGAGATAGGTTTGTAGCTAAATACAGCCTAGTGAAAGCGACTGTTCTTTCGTTTGTGCAAGTACATACATTGTAATTTATTTGTATCTATTAGATAATATAAATTGTTCGTTTTACTTTTATCAACTGTGTTCAGTCTCTTTATTTCACACATACCAAAAGAACTCAGTTAAATCATCTACTAT